AAGGATCCTATATAACGTAGTGAATGTACAAGGATCCTATATATTCTTCCTTCTAACTAAAAATTTCCAAGAGAAAATCATACCACAAAACTATTTAATACCTCTAGGGCAAGTCTTTCACAAATGTAGTGAATGTACAAGGATCCTTTATAATCTCGAAGATTCGAAATATCCTAAGTACTATATCATACAAAAATTTGGTTGATTTGTAAGTATTTATTGTATTATCATCATTAATATTTTATACAGGTCAAAAAGTCACTTATATGATTGTAGGTATAGTCGTTGTTCTTATGATAATATATAATAAATACATATTTTTTCTGGAACAAAATACAGTTCTTTCTAATATACCCTCCCATCAATTTCTCAGCAACTTTATCTGTGAGGGAACTTTTATCAGCAGCTAAGACCATCTTTACTCTGGATTATTAGGGGTTTTTTTTTAATTCAGAGTCCCCACAAAAACCATAAAACTGATCACAAAATAATGAAATAAAGATCGATTATAGAGAAGTTTTTGCATTATTTACGGATTTCATCAACATATAACGGCCTATGATTGATTCGATTTTTAAATTTATTTTTTCCGACAAAAATAAAATTAAAAACCATGAAACAATTGCAGCGTAAAAGATGCTCTAAGCACTCTCTTGAACTCACAAAATCTCATTAATTAGAGCTATAAATTAAGGTATATTCAGTGAAGTTTTTTAGAGTTCTTGTGAATATCAAATTTTTATTTCCATCCTCTTCGCCTTTATCCATAAAGAGCTCAATTTTAGCTGATTCTCTTGCAAAGATTGTTTTATGTAATAGCTTACCTTTAATTATATCTCGTCCTAAACTGAACTTTCATCTATAGATAATTTGGTTGTTCAAAAAATAATAATATAATTACTATTTTTGAAGTGAGCCGACATGTGACAAAATACTTATGTACTCTCTTAAACTAATTGTGTTATAGCAATAGTTTTTTTATTTTGAGAATTGGTTTGTGTTTATAGTAATAATATATATTTTTATGAGTCTATGTTAAAATGCTTCTTTTTGTTTTCATATTCGTTGGCGTAGTCAATTTCGTGGCAAATCATTTCCTTTTGAGAGATCGACTATATTATTGTGGACGTACTTAAACTAATCATACTAAGAAGTAAAACGCAATCGGACTCGATCTCGAGAAATCCTGATCCTACCTACATCCAAATTAGTTATGTAAGACAGGAAGATGCCACACACAAACACATGTATTCGAACATAAACTAATGATTTATAAATAATATTTAAACAAAATTAGAGAGATCCTCTGCGTCATCCGAACTCCACGAATTAGTACTAATAACAATCAGAAAATCTCTGGAACATCGTCCTTACACTGTTCTACAAGTAATTGAATATATGTATATATGCTTACATTTAAATATATGAGTATAGTTTGTTTGTAAATGAAAGGAAAAACACAAAGATTGTTAGACACATGTCATGTTTTAAAATCTCGGGGATGGGTTAGTTTTATCGTTATATGTATTTGACCGTCAACAATGTGTGGCTCCTCGAATCGTTTTTAACCTTTTAACCCATACTATGAAATGTCTCCAACTATTTACTTGTGATGTGATAAGCTTCTTCTCATCAAAATTTAGACATTGGTCGGTCTAGGGTTTGCCGTTGCATCCATACATATGAGTTTAGAAACACAACACATGTTTTAAGTTCAAAATAAAATATTAAGTTAAAAAAATACAGGTTTTAGATATAAATTACTCCCTGGCTAGCAGTGGCGTGTTTAGGTTTAGAGGGACCTAAGACAAATTATAAATAATAAATCTTAATATATATTTATTTTTAGAAATTGCAACGCAAGAAACAAAAAAAACAGAACTACTAGAATATTGAACATTGCAACTAATTTAGCCACTCAACCACTAGGCTACAACGAAACTATTACTCCCTCCATTTCAGAATATATGTCATTCTAAGCTTATTTCTTGTCACAAATTAAGTGTCGTTTTAAAGTTTCGAGGCAAAATTGATTAGTTTTATATAATATTATATTTTCTATTGGTTGAAAAGTGGTTAGGTGTATAGGTAACTGTGTTTTTATCTTGGAAATATGTAAAATTAAATATTTCCTTAATCTGTGTGCAAAAACCTAGAATGACAAATAAAGTGAAACGGAGGGAGTAGGAATTTCGGATCTTAAAAATACTTGTAACTTATCAGGGGTATAAGATGAATGCCTTTTTTGTTACACTGCCTTTTTTGTTACACTGTAGGCACGTCTCTGCTGTTTAGTAGTGCCAGTTAATTAACTTCATTACTTCATTTCAATCAATGTTCAATCTATTCGATTTTCCTTTCTTTTTGTGAAAAAATATTGTATAGAAAGACTAAAATTTTGTGGGTTTTAATGCTGTAATTAAAGTAGAATAAACGGCATAAAATTAAGAGATGGTTCCTAGTTAATAGGAAAGCTACTGATCTCGGACTACGTGAAAGGGTAGGTCTAGGTCATTAAAGTATGCATATGCATGTTGTATTAACTCCGCCGGAATTAACCGCATTATTCTTTCAGCTTCCTTTTCCAATCAAACCCTCAAGCCTCGTTCCAATTTTTTGACTTGGACGAATCAAAATAGTCTAATCTTCTATAGTGTTTTTAGAGCTTTACATGTGTGTTTCAACAATGCATTTTAGGTTACATGCGTGTATCAATATCTATTTCGAACCTGAACCAAAATGGTCGCTTCCAATTGGATGTTTCTTTTCATAGTAACCCAAGATGTTGATACAGTCTTTGGTACAAGTAATCTGTCCTTCAGCTTTGGGATTATTGTCAAACTAAACATGTACATACTAATTTCAAACTGGATTGATATCACAAACCTAAAATTAAACCAATATAAGTCTAATTAATTGGACAAAGTACATATTTTCCTTATTTAGCTAAAAGTATACATGTTTATATGTGTGATAAATAGATCAAAATCGTTGTTGGCCCACCAATAAAGATTAAATCGTAACAAACCAAACATCTACCACATTATCAACCGCAAAATCATCAAACTGAATCCAATTGATAATCAACACCTAACTCTACATCTACTGTCTACCACATGATACATAATTTTTTTTCTTTTCTGGATGATATTTTAAAATAATTCAGAGTTGCCAAATGTAACATCCAACTTGATCCCTATGTTGGCTTCAACATCTTTGGTATTCTCTTGTACCATATGTTCTACACTCCTTTGATGGTATCGACCACCGTAAGGAAAACTAAAGAAGCTAGATATATATTAATATAATATATTACCGTAACTTTTTTTGATATCTTCGTAATTTGTCTTCGTTATACATTAAAACAAAAACAAAAAAACAAACATTTTATTCAGGTCTATGTTTCATTAAACAAGTATGTATGAAGAACACGGTTATATGTGATCCAAACCCATAGAAAATGGTAGAAAGAGAAGAAGAGAGAATGGTGATTAATAGAGACAAGGAAGTAATGCATGTAACGTGGGGATGCAATGGTGAGACTGACAGAGAGTGAAGGCAAAGAGGGACAGTGTGGTTTGGCGATAAACACAGATTTTGCCATATTAAACCCCACTATCCTTCTCCTCCTTCCCCTGGCCCTCTCTCCTTTCCGACGTCACTTTCGCTTCGTATATAATTCTTTGTTTTGTTCTCATTTGTTTATGCTACTCGGATGTGTAGATCCAAAAATATTGCAATGAGTTAATTCTACCAATTGGCCCGATTTTGGAGGGATCTGTAGAACCATTGAGTGACTTTGGTTTGGTCTTAAATTTAGATAGAGTCATGCAAATCAGTGCATCCGTCGTTTTATATGTCATATCGATTGATCCGGTCCATTCTCGGTAAAAAACATTTAGTGTTAATATATTATAAAGTGGATTTTTTCTCCGAACCATCACCAAATGGTCTGACCCAAATATGAAATATTTCATGACTAACACTTAAAATAACTGAATCGCATATTACTAGACTAGCAGATAAACTATTTGGCCCAAAGTTCAAGTCCAAACTTCCACACATTTGTGATTGTTTCAATAGAGACTCGAACCTCGGGAAAGTGTTTTAGCATGTTCTCAAGTTTTGCCTACCATTTAATCACAGCTAAAACTGTCTCGTTCTCAGCTCATTTGGTCCATTGTTTATTGGATAAGTGATGCCTTTTTTGGCAGTGGATAAAAGATTACTGCAAAGTTGTACAAATGATGTTAAAAGACCATCTGATTCTAAGTTACTAACTCATCATGAGAATCTGCTCGTGAAATATTGCTCTATGTACTACAACATCTCTATATGGCTCAAATGTATAGATATTTGGATCGCCGGCAGAACCAACATCATATGGGGTCTAGTGTAAACAGTTTTTTTTTTTTTTTTTTGAAAAATTTCATTAAACAAAATGAAAGTTGGGCTATCTTGGTAATTCATCACAACCACATTTTCAGATAGACTACAAAATGTTTGGTTTGTTTTTTATCCCAACACTCAATAAGACCGGTGGCCTGGAATAATAAATGTTTGCAATGCACATAATATGGAACCACATCTAAGTGTATCAACCCTTCTCTGCATATTGGTTACTGATATGTTCATCATATTGAGAAAAAGAAAACATGTAGCTTTGAAATTTCAATAATAGCTGTTAAGTTGAAGTTGATACTAGACCATGTGAATATATAGCTTGATAGAAGAAAAAAAAACGTGAAGTCGAATAAGACGACAGGAATAATTAAGGAGACTAAGAAAAAAATATATATAAACCTGACGTAGTTGAGTTTTACACATGTAACAATCACGACGTTGGTCTCGTGCGAAAGTATGTTTAGAGGCTTCCCAAAATAAACAGTATCTTTTTGTACCAAGCGATAGTGAAAAAAAAAGCTGAGAACAAATAAAAAAAATAGTTGAAAGCTAAAGGATACTCTTACTAAAAGAAAAAAAAACATAACCCACACCCTCCCTCGATGCAATTGTCTCTTCTTCTTCATCTTCTCTCTCTCTCTCTCTTCTTAAATTTGCATTATAAAATCACATCCACTTTGCTCCTCCCTCTTCAACACAATCTTCATCTTCTCCACTCTCGTTCCCAATTTCTCTCTCTGACACATTAACTACTTATCATTCTTGCGTTCTTCTCCTCTCTCTCCACATACACAGAACACAACGACACTTACTTTACACTGAGAAAGAAGATGTCGAGCAGAAGATCAAGACAGTCAGGAATCTCTGACGATCAGATTGCTAATCTTGTTACAAAGCTCCAACACCTTATTCCTGAACTCCGCCGCCGCCGTTCTGGCAAGGTATATACACTTCAAACATCCATTTGCAAATCTATCTTCTTATAAAAGAAAAACAATTATCTTTCTTGCAAATACAAACAAACATATGTTCCTTTTTTGTATGGAATATGGATATATAATTAAGTTAGCACATGCATGGACTTAGAAAGTTCAAATTGACTGAAACCATTATATAGTGTATATAAGTATTTAACATGCATGGTGAATTCCATTGGCGTCTGGGGTAAAATACATGTGGCCTACAATTATCTATCTGTAGATAAAGTAAATTCACAGCCTCATTTATGCATATATACTAGTATCTCTTTTGTTCCTTGAATGTTTTATTTTATGATTTTAAATTCACAAGTTGGTGGTGTGGGACTCAATTTGTTCCCTTCCTACTTCCAAGTACCTTAACTCCATGTCTCCTCATTACTCTTCTACCTAAATACTCACTATAGTTCTACATATAGATGATAAATAGGATTTATTAAATAGTGGCGGTTTATACCGTTGTGCACATTGAAGTGGTAATCATAAACATCTTTCTACTTGTTAATTTCTTGATATATAGGAAATTTTTAGAGAACTCCATTGGGTATCTGTCTCACAAAAAAAGGAAGAGAGATTAAGAGAAGTTTTAACTGTTTTTTTTTTCTGAAAAAATCTCATGTAACAATTGTCTTTTATAAAGAAGTTTGTATTCGTAGCTCTTTAAGATTTAAAGCAATCAAGATGTTTCATATAGGATAAAAAATTGTCAAAAACATGTTTGTCATGTACTACTCTTTGTGAGGATCCAAATGATCGTTATTTTCTACTATAACTGACAATATCCTAATAAAATTTAACTGACAGGTGTCAGCATCTACGGTACTGCAAGAGACTTGCAACTACATCAGGAACTTGCACAGAGAGGTTGATGATCTAAGTGACCGTTTGTCGGAACTCTTGGCTTCAACGGACGACAACAGCGCCGAAGCAGCCATCATTAGGAGCTTGCTTAATTAGTAAAATTCTCATTAATTAATCTGAGAACTATTATGAATATCATCTATTGCCGCGCGCCGTGAAATTTGTCTTATTATGATTATGAGTATGTGTTTCCATCTACGTTAAATATTATGTTATAGCTAGGGTTTCAGGTCATCTGTTAGGCCAACTCATATATTATTTATAATACATGGTTTATGTATGTATGTGAGTTCTATGCGAGGTTCTCTATAATAGCCTGTGTATCATGAGATCCTCTTATATTTATGATTTATGACACAGTGCGTTTCCTTAAGTTTACTCATGATCAACTTCCATAAACTTACGTTTAAAATATCTCTATGTATATGTGTGTGTGTGTGTGTGTTTGAATTTTGTTACAACAATTTTTTTTTTTTGGCAACTAAACCAAATATATTTCTGCTTAGACGTCTGTAAATATTACAATACACGTTAAGAAGTTGAGATCGAATTTAAATTGTTTAAAATATGATAGAAAACCAACGAAGACCTCGATGTTTTCGAGGTCGTTTAGTTTGGATTATCTAATTTTAAATATTACTAATGTATAGTACGCATGGTATGGTCGTGGCACTTTCTTTAGATCCTCTTGCATGTGATCATTAATGCGTGATCTTCGTCGTGTACTATTATAACACGTATAAAGTCGATAATTACGGTAATTAATAACGCAATGTTTCTTATAGATAAACCTTATTTATAAGATGTATCATATACGGTTATTTGAAACTTTATCAACTACATTTCATATCTCGCGAAAATACGAAAATCATTTATTATATATATATTTTTTTCATTTATTGTATTCATACAGTAAATATATGGAGTTTTTCTTATCTCGCGAAAATACGAAAATCTATTTGTATTCGTACTTAAGAGCATGTAATGGAAGAAGTTCATATATATTCGATACGTACAGGCAGAAGTTATTGTGCCTGAAAGTTAAATATAGTTAAGTTAGAGCATAATTAATCCTAGGTTTTTAAGGCGGGGTTCTTAGCGGAAGTAAACAAATAGTTTCTTAATTTTTAACTGAAAACGCTAAGAACCGGTTCTTAAATAAGAACTTTAAGATCATCCGCATCAAAAGTTTAGATGGGGATTCACACATATTTTAAAAAAAGAAAACTAAAATAAGGAATAATGATGAATCTGCCTCTTGCAGGTTCTCCGTAGTTAACTCGATTCATCACTGTAACGCGGATCCCATGACACGTGGCGATCCGCAATTGGTCTGTTTGTATTTTTTTTTAAATCAAAAAGAAAAAAAAAAAAAAATTTTAATAATAAAAAATTGAATCAATGAATATGCATGTTTTAAGAACCTGTTTTTAGTTAAAAGTTAAGAAATTGTTTCTTAACTTCCGTAAGAATCCCATCTTAAGAAACCGGATTAATCATGGTCTTATCTATGTATCAGTTGCATTTCGTTTTGGTCACTTATTATTTCTATATATGAGCACAAAAGACTACGTGCTCGTCAGCTGGTATGCATATTTTTTCTTAAAAGCGTTAAAAGCACGAAGAAAATTTAAAATTGACTTGAAGAAATGTGATAATGTGAAACACGTTCATGAGATGGGAATATCACGTTTTTAATGATAATATCTCTATTTTTCTTTGCTTAAAATATCAATACAGTGACATAAATTGTAACCTACGATCTATCTGATAGCTTCAAATGAAGAAAAAAAAAACTCTGGAACTGACGTTTACGACCAGCCCTATAATTATCGACTAAATGAGCCGTGGACCAAAGATGTTAAGAAGAGCTTTGGACCGTTTCCGGGCTAAAAATATATTTGTTTCATTTCCTCCGATCTTATTAGAAATCCGAAAATATCTAAAGGAATATACAAAAGAAATGGCACAATAAAGATAGGACGCTGAGTTTATGATTCCGAAAATTAAGGGAAAGCTCGACTTCAGAATCACACGCCGCAGATTTCTGGCTAGACTTTCGATTACACAGTGTACGATTGAGCCCACTGACAACGTCATGCTGCATGAACCATGCACATCTACATCTTTGGGTAATTGACGAATGCATGTTAGAGCATCTTCAAAAGATTCTCTATAACTTTAAATATAGAGTTTTGTGTTCTCCAAAAATAAATTTCAAAATTTCATATTTGAAGTTTCACTTCTCAAAATTTTAAATTTGAAGTTTCATCTTTTTATTTATATTTTGATCCTTATATTTTACATATCTTATTTATGATTCTTAAGTATTTTCTTATTTATCATTATAATCTATAAAAAATCTCACAAATCTTCAAATTTATTTCTATAAATTAAGCTTTACACATAAAATTAAGAGTAGAATTAGACAACAAGAATATTACAAAAAAAATCTTAATTAAAAATATTTTTTTTAAAAGGTACATGAAGACAATTATTATAGAAAATTAAATATTACAATAACACTAATAATCTGGTAAATCTGCTCCGGAAGCTCCAAAATCTTCAAATCCAAACAAGTTTTTTTTTTGTAACCGAAGATGATTGTTCTCGACGTCTTTTTCGTATGATTCTTTCTTGTTCAGAACGAATGTACTCACGAGTATTAATATCACCGGTAGAAGCTAAGTTTTTTAGTAATAATTTATTTTCCTCTTTTACTTCTTTTTAAAGCTAAATTTTTATATTTCATTCGTAATTCAATAATGATATCCGTTTTCAAAAATTTTTAGCTCGTAATCTACAAATTTAATATAAAGAGAGTCATTTTTTATTTTGAAATGTACTAGTTGATCACATATGAGAGCATTACGAAAATAATTTTATGGAATAGTGTGATATTTTGCTTGTAGTTTAATGTTTAATCATGTATTCTATTTCTAATTTTATATTTTAATGTAAACTTTTATTAATTAATATTGTTGTAATATTTTTATATATGTGTTAGTTATTTATAAAATTTTTATCAATTTTCATTAATTGTGACAAATATAAGGATAATAATGTAAAAAAAAAAAATTGAAGTTAGTTTTGAAGTTTTTCTTTTGGAGAAGAACAATTTGAAATTTCAAATATAGAGTTTGAGAAACTTCAAAATGAAGTTTGTTTTTGGAGATGCTCTGAGTAAGAAAAAAACATGTTCCATGTAATGTATGTTTCGCTTGTTCTCTTTTTATTGCGTTCAAGAATACATTTCTATATTATGATTATTGGAAATCCCTTATATATTAATTGAGAAACATTTGAAAAGATATAACCTCAAGTTTGTAATAATTAAAAAGTAACCTTGCTTAGTTGTCAATCAATTAGCATACCAATTAAACTGACGTGGCAGCTTTAGGTTCAATTGAAATTTGCTAGGGGAAAATAATTAGAGACGCATATAATGCATGTAACATAGTTTACATGAATATATATAATATATATATCCCACGCTAATGAATGTTTCACAAAGGAAAATATACTCAAATGTTACAGTTTACATTTGCGGACACATTAATACATGCCATGGAAGAAAAGGAAAATATACGATTTGATAACGATTTCCATATATTAACTATAACTTCATTCCTTTTAATTTATGGAAGTGTATATGTAAAATGGAAATTACTTTGTGACCAAGTTCAAACTTAATGGTAAAGACAAGTGTATATGTAAAATGTAAAACTTAATATGTTAACTTGGTAATTTATGTTAAAATTAATATATGCAAATCGTAAATATTAATAGTAATTATGGAAGACCCCTTACCTATTAATACTATCACCTATTATTTCATTCGACCTAATAAGGCATGTGATATAATGTATAGTCTAAAAATTATACTCTCTAGCAATATAATATTTCGTAGATTATAGTTGGTCGCATATATCAAATATTTATTGTTTCGCATGCTTTCCTTAAATAAAACCTACGGAATTACCTAATATGATTAAAATATATATATGACAATTAATGATTTTAAACAATNTGTGTATGTTGTATTTCGAATTTTTCAAAATGAGTATAAATTACTAAAACTGTTAAAAGTCTCATATAAACTTTTAGGATTAAGGTTTTAATTTTTTTTCTATATTAAAATATAATGATTATAAAACCATATGAAGAAATAATTTTAGTTTATATATATATTTCATATCGTTTTAATTAAACTATACATCGTATGAAAACACATACTTATATTTTAATATTTGCCTTGAACATATATTGAAAATTTAATATTTTAATATTGCAATATGTCATTGTTTTACAATGATTATAAATTATCAAAACTACTAAACATCTCACATTAAATCATTATGGTTATGTTAAATCATGACGATAATTAATTTTAAATTGTTTATTTGTATTTGCAAACCTTAAAATATATTTTAAATGCAAGTATTTTACTAACTGCTTCTTACAAAAACATTAGGTTACTTGCTAATACTCTACCAATCAAGCCCAATGACACTTCATTTAAAAATAACCCCAATTCTACGTGGCATAGCTCTTTGGCTTCTATTTCAAATCCCAAGAATTCTATAGCATGTGATATGATGTATAGTTTAAAAATCATATTCTCTAGCATTATAATATTTCGTAGGCTATAGTTGGTCGTATATATCAAATATTTATTGTTTCGCATGCTTTCCTTAAATAAAACCTACGGAATTACCTAATGTGATCAAAATATATATATATATGATAATTAATGATTTTAAATAATAAAGATTTGATAACAATCTGTATACTTTTTTCATTTTGTTTATTTCTTTATTATTAAAAAAAATTACACAATTACATTAATCATATAATAAAGATCTAGATTTTTTTTTTTTGTATGTTGTATTTTGAATTTTTCAAAATGATTATAAATTACTAAAACTGTTAAAGTCCCACATATACTTTTAAGATCAAGGTTTTAATTTTTTTTTCTATACTAAAATCTAATGATTATAAGACCATATGAAGAAATAATTTTAAATATATATTTAATATCATTTTAATTAAACTATACATCGTATGAAAATACATACTTATATTTTGATATTTGCCTTGAACATATATTGAAAAGTTAATATTTTAATTTTGAAATATGTCATTGTTTTTTTAAAATGATTATAAATTATTGAAACTACTAAACATCTCACATTAAAAAAAAATCGTTGGTGTAAAGTTTTGTTACACAAATATGCAAATAATCATAAAATCATATGAGTAGAAACCTCATTTAATAAATATCCATATTAAAATTGTGTTATATTACTATGTTTATATCATTTAAATTTAATTATATATCATATACAATATATAAGATTGATTATTCTGATT